GGGGCTGTGTGTGCGGGGTGGGGTGGGATGGGGTGGGGGGCTGGAACTTGAAGGGAAAGTTGGTTGCCTCCTGGGGACTGAAAAGGGAAAATTTTCCTAAGTAAACCACAACCTAAGTCCAGGAACCCGTATCGGTACTGGTACTGGCAGAGAAAAGTGTAACCTTTGAACCCTTTTCCTGTTGAGGTCACATTGCCCCTCCTTGGTTCCCACACCTGAGGCAAGTATGTTTGTACAGTTAACACCCTCCTCTAATGCTTCGCCTGACCATGCTAGTAGCCGCACCTCAATCTAGGTCTGGAGTCCAGCTTGAGAGCTGAGCAAATAAACCCTAATGAGCAGTGAGCTGAGAGGCAGAAGCCCTGTCCTGTTCGTGAAATGCAAACAACACCCTTTTTAGAAATAATTGTGTGTTCACCTCCCATCACACATTGCAGAGGTTGGACATTGGCTCTGGACTTCCTGGGGACAGTGTTCAGAAACGTTAATGCAACTCTGCCCATCTCACTTTTCTTTACTCCCCATGGCTCTTGTCTAAACTACTTATTGTTATTTGATTGCAGTGCCAGGGATCAACGCCGGAACTCATACACATAAGGCATGCACTCTAATACTGAGCTGCACCCCAGCTTCTAAAATACTTCTGGGGGGGACCCAAGACTTACAGTGGGTAAGGACGCTTGCCTTGTATGCAACAGACCCAGATTTGATCCCCAGTATCCAAGAATATCCCTAGTGCAGAGCCAGGAGTAAGTAACCCCTTAGCACAGCTAGATGTGGCCCCAAACACCAAACAAAACTAAGTAAAATTGTACTTTACTTTGGGTTGACACCCTACACTCAGGTCATGCAGTCTGCACTCCAGCCCTTTGAGGTATCTCCCTTGCCCTCTAAGCTGCTTCTAGACAAGTAACTGGTGATTTGACAGCTAGTTCAGTGCCCACATGCTGGCCCCTCGTACCCAAGAATTTTGAGGTCTTTGACTCTGGATTCTGAAGTCCAGTGGACATCTTCAGACTGATTGTAGTGTTGCCGGTAGGAAACTTCATTTCATAAATGGATTCGTTAAGGGATTGTGTTATTTTTAAAGTTTTCTGTAAAATGAGATAGTTTCTTTCATTTCTTTCATAGGCTTGGTAGGATCAAAAAGGATACTGTAAGTAAAAACCTTTCAAAACTGCAGAATGCTTTTCTTTTACAGTGACATGGATTGAACCCAGCGCCACACATTCCCAAGACACGCACTGTACTGCTTAGCTGCTTCCTCAGCTGCCATGCTATTTTGACCTTAAATATTCTATTAGACTACTCTCCATTTTGTGAGGGGGTGATGGCATTGGAAGGAGTCCCAAGCTTTGGGAACTTGGAATGAACAGGAGTGGTTGGCATATTGCTCTGAAATAAGTAACTGGGGCTGTTCTTTGTTAAGGGTCTCTCCTCCCAAGAGCTCTAGGAATCTAAGGTGGAGTAAGAGGTGGAAAAGGAAAATAGAAACAACATTTTCAAAATATTGAAAGGAGATCGAGTCTTCTGCAGTTTGAACCCAGAAGTTGATGGAGGTGGAGGAGTGGGCAGAGAACCAACTGTCCAGTAATGAGTTTCTTAGAACTATTTAGTGCATCTCACCCCAAGCTACTTTATGGATTAGGTGGGTAAAGCCTAGACAGGATGAAAGGAACAAAAGTGATGGCCTCTCTGTTCATCATCTACCATGTTGCAAAGAAACTAACTGGTAACATGGAAGTTAATGGATCTGAACCCAACACTGGTAAGTTATTTAGCCTTTCTTCCTATTCCCTCACGTATTGTGTAAAATTATTGAGTTTCCTCTGGGCTGCAGAAATAGCTAACAGCCTTTGCATGCGGGAGGCTTGGGTTCAAGTCCCAAGTATTACTATGGCCCCCCGAGCAATGCCAGGATCAATTCCCAAACACTGAACAAGGAGTAGCTCCTGAGCATCACCTGGTTTGGGTGCCTCCCCCATAAATAAGGTGTTAAAAGCTCCTTAAGGTAGAGATTAAATTAGTCAGCCTTAAAGCTGGCATCATTAGCATCTAATAATGATATTCCTATTTTTACCCTTTAGTTTTATCAGGGCAAGGGAGATAGCTCAAGTAGTAGAGCACTTGCTTTGCATGTGGGAGGCCCCAAGTTCAATCCCTGGTTCCTCATGTCCCCTCCCTCTTACTTTCAGCACCATTGGCTGTGGCCTTGGTTTCTTATCTTTCATCCCACCCCTTACAGAACCACCAGGGCTGCACAGCTGGGCCAAGTTAAAGACCTCCGGGGATGACCCCTATTTTAGAAAGAAAGAAAGGGGCCAGAGTGATAGTGCAGCGCGTAGGGCATTTGCCTTGCATGCAGCCAACCCGGGTTCAATTCCTAGTATCCCATAGGGTCCCCTGAGCACCGCCAGGGGTGATTCCTGAGTGCAGAGCCAGGAGTAACCCCTGTGCATCTCCAGGTGAGACCCAAAAAGCAAAGCAGAACAAAAACCTCAAATTATTGCTCCCTCCCACAGTAGAATGTATGAAAAGACAAATTTACCAGAAACTTACTTTCTACTTGAATGCAGATGTTTTCAAATATTTGCATGCAAGTGATCAAGGACAACATGAAAATGGATTCCTAGGTCCCAGTAATCAGATGGGTCTGGAGTTGCCCCCAGGAACCTAGTCTTACCATGAATCCTGAGCTGTAAGTATTTCACTCTGGGAGAGTGAGAATTCCACTGTGTAAGTATTCCACTCTGGCTGGGAGCTAGGCATAACTCCCTATATTCTCCTCTTTTGCTTTTGCCCTGGCTGTGCTTGGATGACCTCGTGGCATCAGAAATTGTACCCAGGCCTCACACTTTATGTACCTTACCACTGAGCCATGTGCTCTGTGCCCCCTGCATTCTCTGTTGTGGCTGAGGGCTTGAGGGAAGCTACTTTATTTGCTGGAAGCCAGTGGAACAGGTTTCCTTCTAGCTTGAACATTTTATGATTCCCAGCGAATTCTCACCCCAAGTAGTACCTAGCACTGCTGTTCTGTCCTTTTCCTTCTGATTTTAAGCCTTGTGTTAAAAATCCATTCCCCAGGTCAGAGCAATAGTATGGCGGGGAAGGCGTTTGCCTTGTACACTGCTGACCCGAGTTCAATCCCCGGCATCCCATATGGTCCCCCAAGCACTACCAGGAGTAATTCCTGAGTGCAGAGCCAGGAGTAACCCCTGAGCATCACTAGATGTAATCCAAAAAGCAATAAATAAATCCATTCCCCAATATATAGCATTCCTTCTGTCTCAATTTTCACAGTAAGCAAAATAGCAGCAGCTGACGTACATATCATTCCCACCTCTTGGGACCTTACTAAGGGGGCAGGTGGCCTGTGAATGCCATGAGGCCGCATGAGCTTTGAAGAGCAGCAGCATCATGTCCCGTTTGAACTGTTTATGGTCACAGAAGTCAGAAATCCAGTAGAAAGAATCCAGACCATTTCAACATCTCCTCCTCTTGCTAAGGGAAGAACCCATTTAAAGCACCCACAAGAAGAGACAGACAGTAGCAAAGAATTCCTACTCCAGGGGCTGGAGCAATAGCACAGTAGGTAGGGCGTTTGCCTTGCACGTGGCCAACCCGGGTTCGATTCCCAGCATCCCATACGGTCCCCTGAGCACCGCCAGGCATAATTCCTGAGTGCAGAGCCAGGCAGGAGTAACCCCTGTGCATGGCCAGGTGTGACCCAAAAAGCCAAAAAAAAAAAAATTCCTACTCCATGCCCCACTTTCTGTACAAAGGTCCAAAACCCAGTCATGCCTGAGCGGGTAACTCCAGTTTTCTCTTGTCATTCATGGACCACTGTTATTCAGAGTGAAGTCAGAATTTCAGTTAATTTAGGTTTAATCAGTCTGTTTAAGAAGGGGGTGGGTCACAGGACTTAGGTTGTATCTCTAATCCTAATTCCTGCTCTATTATTAAATAGCGCATCCACACTTGAGAGCCAGATAGGGCCCCTTGCGATCTTCCAGAAAGAAAAGGGCTGGTCCTAATGTTCTGCACAGGTAGATCAGTGTGGGGACAGGCGGAAGAGAAGCGGCTAAATCAACAGTCTTCCAATAAAGCATTGTCTTAATTGTATTCTAGACCTTATCTATGATCTTTATAAAGCGGCATAGTCTCAGAAACTGTAAATGGGGTTATTTGGAAAATGGCTGCTTCTCTGCTTTTGGGGGCATCCAAGTGACCAAACACAACTCTCAGAGATCAAGATGAAAGAAGTAAAACTTTTTTTTTGGGGGGGGGGTCACACCCGGTGATGCACAGGGGTTACTCCTGGCTCTGCACTCAGGAATTACTCCTGGCGGTGCTCGGGACCATATGAATGCTGGGAATTGAACCAGGGTTGGCCACATGCAAGGCAAACGCCCTCCTGCTATCGCTCCAGTCCCAGAAGAAAAAATTTATTTCTAACGTGGCTTAGGCAGAACTTTGCAGGTGACCTCTTTCCAAAATGTCTGCTTTCTTCTAACAAAGAATTTCTGTAAATTTTCCCGAGAGCTTCCTTTCCTTTTTTTGGCCACAACTGGCAATGTTCAGGGATTACTCCTGGTGGTACTCAGGGAACCATATGGGATGCCAGGGATTGAACCCTGGTCAACAGCAGGCAAGGCATATGGCCTACCCATTGTGCTTTGCTATCCTGACCCTCCTTTCCTTCATTTAAGGACTTAAGCCCTCTAACAAACAGGTGTTCATATCTCTGTAGATGCATGGTCTCGCCTGGGGACCCGCCTAGACACTTCCATGCTTGATGCTGCCAGGAGGCTGTGTGCAGGGTCAGAACCTACACTTCTGGGGCAGGGAGGATGGCTTAAAGGGTTGGAGCACATGCAAAGAGCCATGGCACCAGAGCAGCACTACATCCGTGGTGGAGTACCTTGGGGGACCCCCCAAAAAGAAAAAAGAATCTTGACTTTTAAAAGAAATTTTCTGTTTGACAGGGAGGGAAAAAATCGTGCAAATTCAAATTAGTACTTTATTGTGTGGCAGTCACAGTGGGGCAAGCCCCTTGGTTTTCCCATGGTAATCTCTCATTCAGTGTCTGCTGGCCTTTTTTTAATCAGATGCCAAGGCCAAAATCTATTAAGACCATCTGTATCTTGGAATTAACGCGTCTCTTCATCGACGATGAGAAATACAGCAGTGGAAGTCTCAGTGCAGGGGGCAGGGCGCCTGCAGGGACTATAGAGGCTGCCCCAGGTCACGTGGCCACCCCCCAGGAACAAGGGACCTGAAAAAGCAGAGGCATTTACTTCTCTCACCCTGCAAACTGGTCCAAAAACTTGAGGTAGGCCTGCCGCTGGGGCGCAGCCGCTGGAATGAAATGGCCCCCGGCGTGGGTAAGGGTGACGGCCCCGGGGAATCGGCTAGCCAGCCGCATGCTCTCCTGCGCGGGGATGACTCGGTCCGTGTCCCCGAACACGTGGAGGGAAGGCAGGGCGACGGGCGCCTGCAGGACGGGCTCCTCCAAGTCCAGGCCTCGCGGGCAGAAGCCCGACACCAGGATCAGGAACCGCGGCGCGGGGAAGCGGGCGTCTCCCGCCTGGCCCAGGGCGCACACCAGGGCCGCGAGCGCGGCGCCCTGGCTGAAGCCGAGCAGCCCGTCGAACGGGCCGAGCCGCCGCAGCGCGCCGGCCACCGCGGCCAGCGCCGCGTCCAGCCCCCGGCACGCGGCCGGATCCTCCAGCGCCGCGAACTCGTCGGCGTCCGCCTCGGAGAACCACCAGCCTCGAGGCTGCTCCTCCGGCGGGCAGGGCTCTGTGGCGACACGGGGCGCGGGGTTAGGGGGCGCGGGTGGGCTGGAGGGAGCGGGGGGGGATCGGGGGGCGGGGGGTGACCGCGACCCGGCGGGCGACACACGCGGCCGTGCGTTTCCGGGCGGGGCTTCTCTCACCAGGGCCGGGCCCGGCCGCTTCCCGGACCGGGTGCGGGCCGCTGAGGCACACGAGCTCGGCGCGGCCCCGCAGCGCCTTCCGCAGCGCCCCCGTTTTCTCGCGGAAGCCCCGCTCGCTCTGCCGGAACCCCGCCAGACACAACACCCGCAGAGGCCGCGGCGCAGCCATCACGCCAGGCACGGGGCCGGGGCGCCGGAAGCGGCCCGTCCCCGAGCGGAAGTCGACGACGCGGAGGCGGGGCCGAGGGCGGGCGCGAGCCGTGGGCGTTGCCATGACAACGGGGCGGGGGCCGACGCGGATACCTGCGAGAGCCCCAGCCTCTCAAACAGCGGGAGGTGGCGCCGCCGCCTTGTCTCCGCAGCTGCAACTCTCACACGCCGGGGCTGGCGAGGGGCGCGTGGGCCTCTCCTGCACCTGAAGTCACAGATTTTCGTTAGGGTACGCCCCGGCGACATCCTCCACCGGGTCTGGTGCATTTCTCGTGGCGGCCACAAGGCGGCAGCCTTGGCCCGCGTTGCCAGAGGCCCGGCCCCGGAGTCCCCGCCTACCTTCCCCACGCGGGGCTGCCCGGGAGCAGGAGGGAGCCGGTCCCTTCCGTGGTTCACTGTCCAGGGCCCCAAGGAGCTGCTGGCATAGAAATCCATTGGGTAAGGCTCCTGCCAGGTAATGTCCCTTAGGGCCACCGCCGCCTGGGAAAGGAAAATAACATCTGTCGGCACAGAACGTTACGGTTCAGTCCTTCTAAGAACCTACTGTCATTTTTTGTGCTGCTGGGGAAGAACTCAGGGCCTTATGTACACCAGGTACGTGCTCTAAAACTGAGCCACATCCCCAGCCCTGGAAGGCTCTACTAGTCCCCATAACACAGGAAGGACCAGGCCCAGAGATGTTAAGGCATTTGCTCAAGGTCACACAGACCCCAGCTCAGCCATTAAGTGCCCGGCCACACCTGGTCCTCAAGGGAACCAGGTGCAAAGCCCACTCTCTTCCACGGATATTCAGAACTCGATGTTACCTCATAGGGCGTCAGCAGTGGCTTGGGGAAGGCTGTGCCCCAGTCAATGGAGAGGCGTGGACATGCCACCTGCACCCACCTGTGAAGGGAAGCCAAATCAGAATCAAGGTGTGACAGATGGCTCAGTAGCTTCAGGGCTCAGACCATGAATTTAACCCCCTGAGCCACCTACACTGAAGGGATCCTAACATTCCCCCCACTTCTGGGAACCCCAGTGAGGCTGGGAAAGGGGAGGGATAATGATTGTGTGTCCCCAACATACCCCAAATACATACTCTGTATTAATTCTAAACTAAAAATTCACCTATTTGAATAACACTCAAGTGTTTCCTGTTTTTTCCATTCACCCAGTTTTCTGGGAGCAGCTTCAGTTATAGACCAGAAACAAATTCTGGGCAAAATGCAGATGGCAATCAGCCCTCAAACTCATCTCACACAAGACAACCATGATGTGATCAGGGCCAATGAGCCTCAAAGCCCTAACAGGACTGTGACCCACACTGAGGGAAGCCACAACTGGAAAAGTGTTCAGAAAATTCTTGTAAGGCCCCACACAGAGGTGCTCAGGGCTTACCCTTGACTCTGTGCTCAGGAGTCACTCCTGGTGAGGCTTGGGACCATATGGTGTGTCAGCAATTCAAACCGGAGTTGCAGCCACCAGAGTCACATTCCAGGCAAGCCCCTCACCTCCTGTACCACCTCTCTGTCCCTGGAACACACTTTGTATGCAGAAGTCCCAGACTCGACCCTGAGACCCCCCCAAGCACTACCATAAGTGACCCCTACACACCACATCTGAAATAGCCCTGAGCACTGCTGGTGTGGTCCCCAAGCCTCCCAAATAAACTCAGGGTCATGGAACAAATTGCACTGACTCCAGCAGGGCCTAGATTCGAAGCTGCTTTAGCCAGAGTGAAAGCTCGCGAGGGAAGATGGAGCCACTTACACATCCACTTCCGGGAGCAAGCTCAGCTTGCTGGGGAAGATCTCCGAGAGCAACAGCCTCACAAAGGGACGTCCCAAGGCGCGGAGCCGGGACTCCAGGTGCTGTGGGGAGAGGGCAGCGGGGCAGAGGTCACTATAGCCAAGCAGCCAGGGCTACTCCCTGAGCCCACCCATCCTCCCAGCTTCCCAGGAGGCCATCCCCAACCAGCTCAGACCTCCAAAATCTTGGGGCTTCCTTGGCGGCCCAGAGTGCCCAGGATCAGGCCCCAGGTTTGAGCTGTGCGCGCGGTGGTGATGGCTTCTTGGCGATTGGCCTGCATGCGTGGGTGGTCATAGTGCTCCCTGCTCAGGACTTTGCTGTATGGGTCATAGCTGGGAAAGAAAAGGCATTCAGGGCCCTAGATATGACTACCCACAGACTCCAGCTGGACCTGGCTCCTGGATTTCAGTCCCTGGCCTGACAAACTTTTGGGCTCCAGGCTGGCCATTCGGAAGAAGCCAGAGCAGAGACAGCTACAGGGAAGCTCCAGCCATTGGAGAGGCAGGAGAGGGAGGAGGTTTCATTTCTCTGAGCATCCCCGGGCAGGGGAGGGCTCTGCATGGAGGCAGATCCAGGACATAGGTGGTGAGAGCCTTCGGGTGGGGGGCTGAGAAGCGCTCAGGAATTAGGACGCTCTAGCTAACTGAGGGTCTTAGAGGCAGGGAACCCCGCCTCCTCCCACACTGGCCAGTCTGCGCAGCCCGTACCGGTAAGCAGGGATGGTTGGGTTGGCGATCATGACAGACTCCAGATGGAAGCGGCCGTCTCCCAGGTATCTGCAGGGGGAAAGGGACTGTGAATGGGGCGAGCAACGAAGCAGCAGGAACTGGCTTGAAGAGCCAGAGGGTGAAGGACTGGGCTGGTGGCACTGCTGATAGGTGTGGACACTGGGACATGGCATCCTTCTACCTCTTTTCTTTTTTTCCTTTTTGGGTCACACTCAGCAATGCACAGGGGTTACTCCTGGCTCATGCGCTCAGGAATTACTCCTGGTGGTGCTCGGGGGACCATATGAGATGCTGGAAATCGAACCCGGGTCGGCTGCTTGCAAGGTAAACGCTCTACCCACTGTGCTATCACTCCAGCCTCTTGAAGCCTCTGTTTCTCACATGAAAAATCAGGAGTGCGGGCCAGAGTGACAGTACAGTGGGCTCGGTGCTTGCCTTGCACGTGGCTGACCCGTGTTCAATCCCCAGCACCCAAGATTGTCCCTGGAGTCTGCCAGAAGTGATCCCAGAGAGCAGAGCCACGAGTAACCTCTGAGCACCACCGGAAATGGCTCAAAAAACAAAAATTAGGGGGCTGGGACACTAGTACAGTGGTAGGATCAGGTGTTTGACTTGCACATGATGAACCCAGCATCACATATGGCCAAAAAATAGCCCAATTGTATGACTGAAACGTAGCACTAAAGTTTGTAAGTCTGTAACTGTACCTCGTGGTGATTCATTAAAAATTTTTAAAAAGCCCAAAACAAGCAAACTACTCAAAAATTTAAAAAAGAAAGTCAAGGGGGTCAGAGCAATAGCACAGCGAGGAGGGTGTCTGCCCTGGACATAGCTAACCCCGGTTCAGTCCCCAGCACTCCATCTGATCCCCAAGCCTGCCAGAAGAGATCCCTGAGCAGAGCCAGGGGTCAGCCCTGTGCATCCGTCATCCCACCCCTGCCACCAAAAAAACCCCTATTTTGTGAGTTTGAAATGGAAGAGCATGCACCTTCAATGGTTAGTGCAGGGTCTGTGGGCTGCGCTGTGGGAAAAGCGCGCGGAGACAACACTGACACTGCTCAGGGCTCAGGAGACGCTAATGGGATGGGGGGGGACAGTCTCTCCCTGCTGGCGCTGGGCACAGCGTCCAGGGTGTCATCTGTGCCATATGTGAGGTTTCAGACAAATGTGCATCCAGTTCCTGAGCTGTAGCTGGGTCCTGGCCCTCATGCCTATGTCCCAGGCCTGAGCAGAGCAGCCACCACAGGTAACTTCAGTCCCAGCAATCTTCCAACCTACCCTCTCATTGCCGTTTCCCCATTTTCCAGAAGAGACCATTGAGGTTTAAGGATGTTAAGAAATGTGCCCAGGGGGCCACAGTGATAATATAGCAGGTAGGGCATTTGCCTTGCATAAGGCAGACCCAGGTTTGATCCCTGGCATCCCATATGGTCCCCCAAGCACCACCAGGAGTAATTCCTGAGTGCAGAGCCAGGAGTGACTGCTGAGCATTGCTGGGTGTGACCCAAAAAGAAAGAGAAAGAAAGAAAGAAAGAAAGAAAGAAAGAAAGAAAGAAAGAAAGTGCCCAGGGTCGAAGAGAGTGCAGTGGGGAAGGTGCTTTGCCTCCCATATGGCTGACCCTGGTTCAATCCCCGGCACCACCCAGAGTGACCACTGAGCACAGAGCATGGGATAAGTCCTGAGCACAACCACAGCCCACAAACCCAGAAAAAGGAAAAAGAAAAAAAAGAAACGTGCTCAGCATTCCTCTGACATTAAGCAGCAGGGCTGGAAGCTCATGGGGCCCTTGACTGTGGTGAGCATGTCCCAGCAGCCGCTGCCCCTGACGGGCCCTTCCCGGGCCAGAGACGCTCGAGCAGGGCGGGCACCCACCATGGCGGTGCCTCCTCTCTTGCTTAGGACACCACGTTTCAAAAAGCAGCTGACACTTGGGGTGTCCCTCCTTCAGCGCATACTGTGCACCCCCCTCCCGCCCCCAGGGCTCAGCTCCGGGCTCCGAGTTCGGCAGGTGCAGACAGTGGGGGCAGGGTGGAAGAGGGGAAGTGTGGCAGGGAGTGTGTGGGGGCGGGTCCTGTGCTGGGGACCTCCGTGTTTCCCAGAGGTGAGCCTGAGTCCGGGGAGTGCCTCTCCCTCCTCCCTCACCATGAGCTGGGAACGGGGCTCCCCTCCTCAGTTCAGCCGGGGAGCTGTCGGCTCTGAGGCTGGCTGCATTCACACAACATTAAGCATTTCCATTACCTAAAATAATTAGGCAGCAGGAGACACGTTGCTCCTGCTTGTTAGCTGTCCGGATGCTAAATTAATGGGGCTGCAGCCTGGGCGCGCCCATCCATCTTCCCCAATTATATTCCCGCCCTCTCCAGCCCCTGTATCAGGCCCTCTGACTCCCGCCCCTCCCAGGATGTGGCCCTCTGGACGGTGGACAGGGACAGGGAGGATTGGGAGGAGGGGGAGGAGACCTAGAACCCACTTGGGGGTCAACCAATCCTGTGGGTTGACCTTGAGCAAGTGGCGGAGCGCTTTTAGACTCAGTTTCCCCTCCTGCCCCAGGGGTCCCCCCAGTGCTCACTTACATCACAGCCTCCACCTCTTTGGGCAGGCGAGGGGAGGTGCAGCCCAGGATCTCCCCTGGCGACAGGGGCTTGCACTGCGGGACACTCACGCGGTACTCGGCCTTCAGCGCCTGTGCGGCAGCCTGCAGGCAGACAAGGGAAGGGAGCACACGGGCACCGGACACGCGGGGCAGGGAGGGGGTCCCAGGAACGGTTCGGGGAGCGGCTGCTCTTACCTGCAGGGTCGACACAAACTGAATGGTGCTGACTAAGGCAAGGGCACTGGCAGGGGGGAAGGTGAGGCGGACCGAGTCCAGCAAGTGGGCGGTGTCGATCCGGATGTCCACGAAGACGTACAGCACCCGGAAGTCTCGAACTGAGGTATCCATGGGAACTGGGAGGAAGCCGGAGTTTGAGGGGACTCAGTCTGGGAAGGCAGGAGGGGCTGGGGGCCTGGCTGTGGCTTCAGCCTGGGGCAGTCATGGGTCCCTGAGGGGCTCCTGTCACCCGGCCAGCACCCAGTAGTCTTTCCAACACCCGTACCTGGGACCGCAGCTCCGTTTCCAAAGGCAACCAAGTCCCCACCTGAGTAGGAGGGCCCAAGGCCACCCCCCAGAACCAGAGGGTCCCTGTTCCTTGCTGAGAGGAGGGTTCCAAGGAAAAGGGGGGCAGGTACCCAGGCAGCTGTGGCCGTAGTGCACCAGGAAGTCGGCGCCCAGGGCCCTGGCGGTGAAGTCGTCCACACAGCAGGCCCCATAGGTCACGTCACCCATCACCATCGCTTCTGCCTCCGTGAACCTGTGGGCAGGGGAGGGGGAGAAGGGCCCGCAGGCTGAGCAGGGAGGGGGTCACTCAGTGCCCGGGCGCTCTCCCTACCCCGCCCAATCCCTGGGGCTGGCAGCTGCCACTTCTGCCAACAAAGAGTAGGAGGGGCCCAGCTGCTACCTCCCCCAGCTCTGGCAGCAGCTCCTGGCACCATGCTGGATGGAGACAGTGTCTGCGCACCCAGATTCCTCTGCCTGGGCGCAGACAGCAGGGGGGACCCCACCCCTCGGCCTGGCATGCAGCTCAGAAGCAGGCATCCAGGGCCAACAAGTCTCGGCCCCCCAGGAGCCTGAGTGAGTGCCTCCCCCCATCCCACCCACGTGTCAGCGCCGTGGGGGTGTGGGCATGGAGGGGGGGTGGTTATGCGCATGGAGGAGGGGTGTGGGCACACACACGGGGGTGAATTGGGCAGGCACTGCGGTAGGGAGGAGCACGCACACAGAGGAGGGAAGTGGGTGCACAGGGGGTGGGGCTGGAGAGGGGCATCCACGTGGGGGATCGGGTGGGCTCGCGCGCGGGATGCGGGGTGGGCACACACTCATGGAAACAGAGCCGCCCGGTCACTCCCCAGACCTCCGCTGCCTCGTCTCAGTCACGGCTGTGCCCAGAATGGGGGGACCGTGCACAGCTCCCCCGCAGCACATGGCGCCGCCCACGTGCCTGTTTGGCGCCTCGGGAAGATGGGCTCTGGCCAGCACACTGCCGGGATCTGCTGCCAGGCCTGAATCACGGGGGAGAGTGGGGGGGCTGCACCCCAGAACACAGCATAGGAGTGGAGGAGGAGGGCCAGCTCTTCTCTGACTGACCCCTGGGCGGGCTGGGGGGAGGGGTTCTGGTGGGGCAGGCCGAGCAGCCCCGCCCCTCAGCCCCTCTTCCTCCCGCATCCCCCAATCAAGCTGTGCGGGGAGCAGATTCTCCAGCTCCTTAGGATGCAGCCCAGGCGTCTGAGTCAGCCCGAGCACTTAATTTTTTATAGATTAAAATGTATGCAAATTGGCCCGCGCCCCAGAGAGCATCCCCCAGGGGCAGGAGGGTGGGAGCGGGAAGGCGGCTGCGGGCGGCGGGAGGAGGCGCGGGGGGGCGGGGCGGCAGCAGGAGGTGGGAGGTTCCCATCACGCGTTGACCTCCCCTTTCTCCGTCCCCCTCCTTCCCCGCGGCTTCCAGATGGCTGAGCCCCGCCGCCCTCCTCCCCGGGATGGCTCATTGTTTGAAGAACTTCAGACAGACGGAGGCAGGAACTGGAAGCCTCGTCCCGGGCTCTTCTCTCCCGTCGCCAGCGTCCCCTAAACGTGCCCGAGTTTCTCCCTAGCCAGACTCCTCCGTGACCGCCACGCCCAATTCAAGGTCAGCTCGGAGAATTCTCCTTGAGCCCAGCTCTGAAGACACTGACACGGAGGCGAGGCTCCTGCCCAGCCCTGGGGGGCTCTGAGGGGAATCGTAGCAGGCCGGGAGTTTCCTTATGCGTTTTCCTAGGTCGAAGGAGGGCAGGGGCAGAGAAGCTCTGAAGGGTGAACGGATGCCCACAGGCGGGTCTGGGATGGCCAGGGGATGCTCTAAGCCCAGCTTCTTCGGGCCCCAAGCCTCACCTCTCTAAGATATCCACAATGGTGCAGGCGAAGAGCAGGAGGCCTTCAGGCATCTGCAAGGCCACTGGAAGACAGAACAGAGAAGTGAGAGGGGCCTGGCAGGGCCTCTGCTCCACACTCCAGCTCAAGGCTTGGGGCTCACCTTTTTTGGCCTGGGCCTGCTGGATCCTCCAGACAGTCTTGGGAATCTCAAAGTTATAGTTGGAAGGCAGGACCTGGATGGCCGCTTGCAGCTGGGGGTTGTTCAGGATCTCAGGGGGGATCTGATTGGCCACACGGCCTCGAAGGGGCTGACCTACGACAAATACAAAACCTGAGTGGGTGCCTCACCTGGACCTGAGCCAGACCCCGCTCATCGGGCTCCCAGAAGGTTTAAGGCCCAGCTTTGGTCCCCACCGAGCTTCATCCTGAAGTTGCAGAAACAACCTGCTAAGCCAAGAAGAAATCTACATGATTCATTTCCGTGTTGTGAGATTATTAGAATTACACACTAAGCCCATAAATTGGACACGGGTCACCCCTTGTCTCATGTAAGCAAAGAGGAGAGAGGGGACTGAAGGGCAAACAGGAAAAAGTTCACACAACAGTTCCCTGACAGAGAACAACCCTGAGAAAAAGGAGAGCCCAAGAAGTCGAGGAAAACACCCCTCCTCACCCAGTCGTGGGAGCGCCTGACCTCCTGAGACCTTATAGTTATGAGATTTACAAGGAAAATATTTATGAGCACTCCTTTCAAACATACCCTCCTTACTGACGATGTCTGCACTGATGAATTCTATACTCTTCCCTCTCCTCATTTAAAAGGAAAATAAGTTCCCTAGCTTCACTGTTCTATGCCATGTCCCACCCAAAGAAAGATGGAAAGAACAGACTCTCATCAGAACTGAGAGCAAACAGGTTAAGACAGAAACATTTACCTGGCTTTATAGGGGCTAACATTCAAGTGAGAGCAAATGCAGGAAAACTTGATTGAACCTCAAAGGGGGGCGGGGTGGGAGGGGGATACAGTGGAGTGATAGTACAGAAGGTACGGCATGTGGCAGACCTGGATTGGATCCCTGACATCCTATGTGGCCCCCAAGCACCACCAGGAGTGATCCCTGAGTGCAGAGCCAGGAGTAACCCCTAGCATCACTGGGTGTGCCCCCCCCCCAAAAAAAGAGAAAACGAGGCAGAGGGAAACAGCACAGGGGTCAGAAACTTGTATCTTGCACATCTGATGCCCCGTTTGATTCCAGGAACCAAATGCCTCCCCTCCACCCCCCACCTCTACCCCCAGTGGTACTAGTTGTGGCCCTGGGCAGCACCAGAGTTTGGAGTTGAGAAGACTGATAGTCTGTGATGAGCCCCCGCACAGCACAGGCCTTGAGTCCCGCCAGCCCCACTGGGCAGCTGTCAATCCACACCTGACATCCACTTGTGTGTGGCGCAGGATTTAACCCCCACCACCTGATTTCTCGGGGAGCCGTGGACTCAGGCTGGAGTAAGGAATTGCTCTTTTCAGGAAAGAGACAGAAAACAGTACAGGACCCCCCACCAGGGGTAGCATTCCTTCCAGTCTGTCTGTCTAGTCCCCAACAGCTGAGCATTTAACCATTGGGCTTGACTGGTCAAGTATGGCAGGAGAGTGGCCCCCAGCCCCCTGAGCACTTCTTGCTTGGTTCCGCAAAGTAATATGAAACAGTATAGCCCATAAAACAAGGTAGCAGCCCCTAGCTCAACATCTTACCGCCACAACGGAGTTGAGCTCGAACCTAGTATCTTTTTTTTTTTCTTTTTGGGTCACACCTGGAGGTGCTCAAGGGTTACTCCTGGCCCTGCACTCAGGAATTACTCCTGGCGGTGCTCAGGGGACCATATGGGATGCTGGGAATTGAACCCGGGTCGGCCGGGTGCAAGGCAAACCTGCTGTAGCCTGCTATCTTTTTAGGAGCCAGAAGGAAACGTGACAAGGCAAGATATTCAATTTATTGAATACAGATTTATTGAGCCTGTACCCTGTGGCCAAACTTCTTCTAGGGCCCCTTACTAGGATAAGATTCTTCCAAATCTGAACCTCACCCTCAGCAGGGGAGTGGTTATGGCGCTGGTGCCGAATATGGAAAATCAGGGGCCCTGAGACCAGATTTGATTTTTCAGTTTGGTTGGGGGAGAGTCACAACCAACAGTGCTCTGCGGTTACTCCTGCGGCAGTGCTTAGGGGCCTCTCCAGGCTGGTGCTCTGGAGACCATGCAGTACCTGGGGATGGAACCCCAGATTCCCACACGCAAAGCATGTGCTCCTGCCCATGGAGCCAGCTCCCAGTCTTCTGAGACCAGATCTGAATGTTATCATTGCTATGGTTTTTGTTCAGAGGAACTGCCAAGCCCCGCCTCCCTGGTCCCCTCATAGAAACTGCTCTCACGGGCCCAAGTCCCTTGTGCTCCTGGGGTGTGGGAGCCGCTAGTCTTAGCAGCGCAACTCTTCCCCAGGGCCAGCCGGCGCCTCCTCCTTCATCACGGGGCTGTGAGCTTCTGTTTGCATCCGTGCGCCTCCGTGGCTGAGATCCCTGCGGGAACGCGCGCGCTCTCGTGCCGGCCTCTCGCGTGCGGTTGGGTGGGTGCCCAGCGCGTGCCCGGGCCTCGGGCCTCTTCCGGGCAGCCTCCCCGCGCGGGGAGCTCGTCTGCCCCTGTCCGCCCGTCCAGTCGGCCCTCCTCGTGTCTCTCCGAGCATCCGGGACGGGGTAAGAGCTAGGGGCTCCTAAGACGAGCGGCTCCCGGTCGCGCCCTCGAGGCGCAGAGAGAGACGGTCCCCGCGGGCTCCAGTGACAGCTGCCCAGCGCTGCCTCGGCCCTGACGTGGCTTGGGTCCCGGTCCTCTCCCGCGACGCGAGGTCCAGAGGCCGCAGCTGCTAGCACCCACCTGTGCCGGGGCCGTCTCGACTGCGCGGCCCAGCCGCGCCCGCCGCCACCAGCGCCGCCATCGCCGCCTGCCCACGTGGGCACCGAAAAGGCAGCGCTGGAAGATGCCCGAGCGCGCAGGCAGCGCGGTCGATCGCCGATCGGCCGAGAGGGGCGTGTCCCGCGGGGCGGGGCTCTGAGCCGTCCCGGTCTTGGCTGGACCGTCTGGACCCTTGGCGGGCCCCTAGCGGTGTCGCCCCCTGCGCTGGCACACGCCCAGCGACTCTGTCTCCTGTTCCTCCCTCTCGACCCGAACCTGGTACGACTCCACTTGCCAACTCCCCGCCCAAGTTCTGCCGGCAGGGTTTTTTTTTTTCTTTTTTGGGTCTCACCCGGAGTTGCACAGGGGTTACTCCTGGCTCATGCACTCAGGAATTACTCCTGGGGGTGCTCGGGGAACCTATGGGATGTTGGGAATTGAACCCGGGTGCAAGGCAAATGCCCTATCCGCTGTGCTATTGCTCCAGCCCCTGCCGGCAGGGTCTTGCGGGTTTCCTCCCACAAGCTCTCCCCTCTCCCCTCACCACTACCCCATCTATGAGCAGAGGACCCTGTGCAGGTGGGACCAAGTTCCCCACCTTGAAGATCCCACTGCACCCGCCGACACTGGACAGATTCAAGAGCGCTGGGGTGCCCTCGGCACCTTAGAACAATGTGGCATGCACAACTTGTGTAGACCTCAGGGGAACAAGTCCAGGGGTAATTCTTTGGGAGGGTGGGGCATTCTGTCCAATGTTTGCACTGCAGAGGTCGGCCTTCAGGCCTCTAGCACCTTCCTCCCGACCAGTGACACCCCCCTCCCCCACCCCCAGGCTCCTGGCATTCCCCCTGAAGGCCAAGCAATGAGATAGCCTTGACCTTTGGAAGAGCAGGTACCTACAGAAGTGGACTTCAGCAAAATCTGCCCCAGAGACCAACAGTGCCCAATCACTATTTGCCCACCCAGCCCTCTGGCACCATCTTCTTTTCTGCAGAAGATGTGAGCACTGCTGGCCCTTTAAGGCAGCTCTGTGGCCTCAGGCTCCCCTGGAGGCCCTCCCTGCTAGGAAACTCCTAATTAAGGTGCTGGGAGAAGTGAAAAACAAGCAGCCAGGGACAGGCCCTTGCCTGGGAGGCTGCCCGAGAGGAGGAATGGCTGAGCAGGCTGGGAATGAGCAGTCAAGTGGAAGACCAGAAGGGGTCAGTGCTCTACCTGCATACCACTGACCAGTGTTCTTAGATACTCACTTTGGGGTAGGGAATGTTGCCTACATAAGTCTCAGGACTAGCCCTCACACCTTTATTGAGGGTCCAGCTTGGATTTTATCTGCCCAGGGTTCCTTGAAATCCCTGCAGAATTTCAATTCCAGGAATCCCCTAAATTTAGCCCCTTTCCTTTGAAGCTGCTAAGGCCGAAACCATGGGCAACCTTAGCTCTGGTTTTCAGAGGTGAGTTCAAGACATCTTTGTTTCTTTTCTCTCTAAGCCTCCATTTTTCAACTTTCCCTTCAGTCAACTCTCAGTTAACACTCTAATCACCCTTGTCAAGATTCTTTTTTTTTTTTTTTTTGGTCACACTCAGCAATGCTCAGGTGATGCTCAGGGCTGACTTCTGGCTCTGCACACAGGCAGTGCTTGCGGGACCGTATGGGATAGCCAGGAATCAAACCCGGGTTGGCCGTGTGCAAGGCAAACGCCCTACCCGCTGTACTACTGCTCTGGCCCCCTCGGAGGTGAGTTCTAAAGGGGAGAGATTAACTTCAGAAGAGCAGGGGCTTCCCCCAGCAGGTACCTGGGCCTTTTGGGCCTTTCCCTGGGCGGAAGTAGGGTCAGATGATGAAGACTTCCCCACTCCTTCCTCATAGCATCGCCAAGTCTCTGTGCCCGATGGACCACCCTGCTTCCCACTAGGAGATCTGGTGGCATCCAGGAGAACTAGACCTCTGGACAGATGTGAAGGTGTATCCCGGGGGCCCTGCAGTGGAGACGTTGGGATCTGCCATTTAGCTTCTTCTGAGAACACCTCCATCTGTCTGTGGGGGGTCTCCCTGCCTGAGTTACTCAGCAGTCTGAGTAATTACTGCCTGACAAGAAGGCAGCCACAGTGCACCCCCACACTACACCACACCACCAGCCTACGTTCGCCCCCATCCCCTGGATGGACTCCAAAATCAGTACCCAGCCCTCCTGAGGCCTGAAATAACTTTCCTTCTCACACTCTCCCCCAGTCCCAGCCAACTTTTGCTTAAGATGTTGGAGTTTGTGGGGCAGGAGGTCACAAGGGGGCGGTGCGGGGAGGTGGAAGGATTGGCACGCCCTGATTCAGGTCCACGCTTTGCCTCTGACGTGCTGTGTGATATCGAGCAAGTTGTTCAACCTCCCTGGGCCTCAGTTTACTTATGGAAGGCCTCTAAAGCTTGGTGGTGTGGAACTCAGATTTAGTATCTACTTGGCATGGCTCTGGCAGGGTGTGAGACCAGCCCAGCCCTGTCACTGGTTGGGATGAAAAGAATGCCTGGGGTGGGGGGGGAGGTGGCTAGAGAGATAGTACTGAAGGGAAGGGGCTTGCTGTGCACACAAGATTTGATACTAGGCACCACAATGGATACCCAGGTCTCCTGAGCCATGCCAGGAGTGATCCCTGAGTACAGAGTCAAGAGTAAGCCCCGAGCACAGCTGGGTATAGCCCCCAAACAAAAACAAACAGAAAAAAATGCTTAATTTGGACCAAGGAGATGACTCAAAGGCCGAAAGCATGTCCTTTGCATGTGGAAGACCTAGGTTCCACCCCCAAGCATTGTCAAGCGTTGCCAGGCATGTCCCACCCCCCAAAAAAGAATGCTTCACTTTATGTTCTCATGTCAAGATGAAACAATCTCCTCAACCATTATAAAAGATTGTTAGGAAAGAGTTGGGCCACACCTGTATGTGCCCAGGGCTTACTCCTGGCTCTGTGCTCAGTGATCATTCCTGCCAGTGCTGAGAGGGACCATATGTGGTGTCAGGATCAGCTTTCCCTACTTTTTCACTCTCCCCCCCACCCCCCCGGCCCCACCAAGGTTTTTATTTATTTAATTATTTTGCATTTTGGGTCACACCCGTCGATGCACAGGGGTCACTCCTGGCTCTGCATTTAGAAATTACCCTGGCGGTGCTCAGGGGCCCATATGGGATGTCGGATCAGCCAAGGCAAACACCCTACCCGCTGTGCTATCGCTCCAGTCCAACAAAGTTTTATTATTTTTTGCTTTTTGGGTCGCACCCGGCAATGCACAGGGGTTAACTCCTGGCTCTGCACTCAGGAATTACTCCTGGCGGTGCTCAGGGGACCATATGGGATGCTGGGAATCGAACCCTGGTTGGCTGTGTGCAAGGCAAACGCCCTACCCGCTGTGCTATCACTCCAGCCCCCAAAGTTATTTTTTAAACTGCAAGCATGTTTACATTTTCTCCTTCCTGGAATGGATATTTTCCCTTTCAGGTCTGATAACTCGTCCCTCCCCGCCCAACCTAACTCGAACAGCATCTCTTCTGAGAAAACTTCCTTCTCCATCCTTCACAATAGAGTCCACCCATACTCTATCTCCTCGTGTCACTTTTTTTTTGAGGAGGGGAGAGGCAGCATATCAGGTGGTGACTGGGGGCAACTCCTCTGTTTGGGGGACTTTGTGGTGCTTAGGGGATCACACTGCTAATCAAACCCGAGCCTTCTGTATGAAAGCAGGATAGCCAGCCCACCAACTTATATCTTTCCTGCCCTCCTGTCATGTTCCAAGATGGCTAGTGGTATTTTCCTTCCCCACTATGCCAGAAGTTTCTGGAAGCCCTGCACAGTTAGTTAAAAACTGGAGCACCAGTGTCATTGAATGCAAAGACAAATGTTGCTGGTCGTCTTTTTGCTTTCTTCCTCTCTTGCCAAACATTTCTCCCTAGGAATCATCCAGATCAAACTCTCATTTCAACTGGACATCACCTGCTCAGAGGCTCCTTGCCTGACCCTTCTATCAGCCTCAGAGGAATTTCTCTCGTTTTTCTTCCAAGCACCGACTCATGTACCTCGTGGACTGTAAGCCCCAGGAAGGCAGAGACCTTGCCTTTTTCGATGACCACATCCCCAGAAGTGGAATGCCACACATAATGACCCTCAAGAGTGTGAAATGAGGGATTTTGCCCATTTCCCCCTCAGAGCCCCTCTTTTCCCAAGCCAGTAGGGGGTGCTGGCCTCCACGTACGTTTCATCTCGGCTGCCCTAACCCTTTCAGCCCAACCGACCTGCGGTGGGACCCGCGTTCTAGGCGGTGCCTCCATCTTCCGCGAAGCCCGGGGCGGGTCTTGTGGACCGAGACTCGGAAACTCCCCTAGGCAGCGAGAGAGAGAGCCCCCCAACCCCCACTCTTCGCGGTGGGCCCTCCTTCAGTTCAGGATTTGCGACGGGACCAAGGGAGATGTAGACCCGCCTGGGGACACACCGCACCTGTCCTCCAAAGAACAGTGTCCTGGGACGCGGATGCGCGGCGCTGTGTCCGCGGGAGCACTCCCGGGCAGGGAGGAGCCGTCGAGCCTCCCAGGAGGAAGGGGGAGCCAGGCGGGAGAGAAGATGGGCCAGGGGTGTGGACTTGTGGTCGGGGCTCTGGGGATGCGGGGCTCCTGTCCCAGCTGAGCGGCGGAGAGCACGCCCGTAGCGGCTTCTCTCTGTGACCTCCAGCCGAGAAGGGCGAGCGGGCGGGGGTGGGGCTACGGGCGCGAGCTCTGGGAAGCCCGTGGGCCCCGGAGGGTCTTTGGAGGGGCCGGAGGGGCGGCGGGGGGCCCGGGGCGGGGGCCTGGACCCGCGCGGGCCGAGGATCGTCCCGGGGGGCGGGCGACGCGCAAACACCTTGGGAGGCGGCGCCGCGCGGCTGAGCGCGGCCGCCCTGGGAATAGGACGGCGCTCGGCACCGCGAGCTGAGAGCACTTTCATAAATTTTGTATGGGAGGCGCTCCGTGAGCGGGGGCGGGGAGCGGGAGGGAGGGAGGGAGCGAGCGAGCGAGGGAGGGAGGGAAGGAGGGAGGACGAGAGGTGGGGGAA